TGTAGTTGAAGCTGGTCAGAAAATGCAAACTATTGTTTTGCAGGCAATTTTTAAAAAAATTCATTTGTGCCAAAATTCTGACAAAATTCTCGAAATGATTTTTTTAAATGAAAATTTAACTAAATTCAGTTCCCAGTTAGTCACTGGCAATTTTTAAAACCCTGTTTAACAAATTCAAAATTAATCTGAGGAAGCTTCAGTAATGTGTGTCTGCATTATACCTTGGTGAATACTGCCGTGTTCTTTTCAACTATATTGCTTATCACTAACTCCTGGCATCACACCAGAGTACCAACACCCTTACATCAAAAGTCTCATGTAGTCCTGAACATGACTTACCTCACAGAGGTGGGTATTTCTTCGCCTGTTGCTATCTTGGAATTGAGGCATGGAAGAACTGCTTCTGCACTCAACAAAAGCCTCTTGTGCAGTGCTGCCAGCCACCACTCACCTCAAAAAGCCTCTAAATGGTGCAAAACACTTCTAAACTCCAAAGAACTGTATCAGAGTATGGCCAACTGGAAGATAATTTTTTATAGCTCAGCATAGTCACATGGTACAACAGTGCTTCGACTTCTCTCTACTTTCTAGATTTTATTGACTCCACTGCTACTGAAGTCAGACTAATGGGAGCAGCCCCTTCACTTTTGGCTAACCAAAAGAATTGTTGCAACCAAAACCAAGAGCTAGAGTGTATCTGATAATGTTTAGCAATGTTATGATTTTATAGAATTGTTTGCAAGGACTTATTTTAATACAAGACTTCTTCTTTCCTAGTTAACTGTGTTAAAAAAAATTAAGAAACATGAACTATAGTAGTATGGCCCTGCATTATTCAGAATGAGTTGTATTCAAACGGAGGTGGAGTTAGTTCTAAATGCTTACATTTGAATGTTATAGGAGATTTTTTATTTCAAATTGCATGCTAACACCAAAAAGAGAAAAAGTTTGATAGATGTGATAAACATTAGGATAGCTAGAGAAGTAAATTAGAGTTTTAAAATTTTATGTTAGACATAGGCTTCAAGACTACCAGTTACCTTTATGGGTGCAAAGAAAGGCCCTTTTGATGAAAAGGATAATTGTGACTGTTCTACTGCAGATACTTGGAAGATCCGTGATTTCATTGATGCGGGACAGTCGCGCCACCGATACAGATAGCAACTTTTCCACACCGTCCTATTTTGTGTGGTTCTCATCCATGTCCTTCCATGAATTCTCCGTAAATGATCCAGCCAACGTGCTGGAGGCCATCCTCTTGCTCCTTTTACGTCTCATGGATACAAATGGAGTATACACGTTGTCCATCTGTCTCAGTTTCACTACATGGCCTGGCCAGCCCATCTCCTTTTCCGATTGTACATAACTTGAATGATATTGTGGACACTGCTTCTTGCACGCAAATCGTCAATAGTAACATGTTGTAGCCTACTTACATCCACCATGTGTCTTTCCATTACTCTTTTGGTGGTTTGCAGCTTTAATTCTTCTGTTAAGTGTCAGGTTCCAGGTTTCTCAGCCATACAGAATTACTGTAAGGACACTGGTTATAAAGAGATGGCTTTTCACAGCAGTAGAAAGTTTGGGATCAACAAAAACACTGCACAGACTCCCAAAGGCAATCCAACCTGACCTCCTCTTCCTGCTCAACTCTGGGCCCAACTCTTTGTTCATCTGCAACGCTTGTCCAAGATATACATATTGATCCACTAAGTGGACGGATTGTCCATCCAGCTGCATGACGTACTCAACAATACGCATTTTTCATCCACTTTGTTTTTCCAGGGTGGATGGTCAGGTTAATCTTTCATGTTCTTACTGATGTCATTGAGGAGGGTTTGCAATGTTTTGGGTTTTGACACAATTAGGATATCATCTGTAAAAAGGAGCATCTGAAGAACCCTACCAATCAGAAATCCACCTTCACTTAGATCTTCCACAGGATATTGATATGGATTCTCACTATCACTTTTTAGTGAAGTCTGACAAATGTAAAACTGCTGCCACTGTGAAGAAGCCTAAGGAGTCCAGAAAGTCATCTTACCCAGAAAACGAGAAACGGAGACACATGGCAGCCAAGGGCAATACCGGTCTGGAGAATAAACTTGACTGCAAAACATCGAGGAGAAAGAGTATAGAAGATTGAGCAGTATCACCTTGCAAAACTGCAAAAGGCAGTTGAAGAAAAAACAAGGTTGCAAAGAGCAAGGTGTGAAATCCAGCCAAGCATGTTTGTTGATGAAGATTGAAGAATGACAAATAGACATGAAATGAAGCAACTTTGCTGGCGCTTTTATAGTGAACTATTTGTCAGAAACAGCAATAGAGCCATTGTACCTGGGCTCTGTCACTCCCAAACCTGATGTTCTCCATGAAGTGGCAGCAGCCCGTCAGAAGATGAAGTTGTAAAGAGCAGCCCATTTAAACCAAGTATGTGGAACTTAGTGTGGGAAGCGATACGCTCTTAAAAGCGCTTTGAGAGAGATTCTCAAGATACATTAAAAGGGAGAATTCCCAAAGTTTGGAAGAGATCACAAACTGTTCTTCTTGATCACCTTTTATCAGCAGAAGACATTTGCAGCTAGACCCAACTGCCTGCGCTCTCATCTTTATGGAGGTCTTTATAAGAATGATCTATGCCCATATTGAGGGTGTCCTTGAAGAAAATGTGAGACGGTAACATGCAAGTTTTTGTAAGGGATTCTTCATTGTGGACCACATTTTTGTGGTGTGATGACCAAAAGGTGTAGGAGAGCACAAGATCCCACTATGCTGCTTGTTCATGGACTTTAAAAAAGCCTTTGACTAGGCGGAACAAAATGCAGCTGTAAGTGCTCTCCTTTTCAAGGCATTCCCCCTGTGTATGTTAGAATCATACAAGATTCCATAATGGACCCAACTACGGAAATCACGCTTTTTGATAATCAAAGTTATACGAGAAGTAAAGCAGGGAGATGTCTGTTTGCCGAAGTTGTTTGCCAGTGTCCTGAAAAATGTCTACTGCAGAGAGACTCAGAAAAGTAGAAGTAGAAGGGACCTCAAGAAATCAAACCCAAACCCCCTCCAGCCGGAGGCAGAACCCAAGTAAACCTTGACAGTCTCTAACAGGGTTACCCGTTACCTGTTAACATCCCTAACATCCCTAATACATACCATGTTTTAATCCTCATCTGTGAAAACATTTCTTCAACCCAATGTTATTTACATCTACACTGTAAATAGCAGTGACTACATTCAAGTTTATTTTTCTACACATCCTTTATTACAAGTGTACATATTTTATATATTTACCTTTAAAAACAAACAGATTCCTTTCATGGAAAGGAGAAACTTTTGCCATTACAATAGAGTGACTTATACCAGGATTATATTATAGCAGTACAAACAAACATCGGCAGCAGGTTCCATATCAGATAAAATGGTTATTTTTACACCCTACTACAACTAATACAAATAAAATAGAACTTTTAGATTTAAAGACAAAAGTACATTACTCAAAACAGTTTCACGTGAATTAAAAAAGATTGCATAATAGATATTCACAGTGTTTGTAAAATATAGGGCAAGTCACTCAATCTAGACAAAAATGGGTTCTCCCTCTCATATGCATATATCAGTATCAATATGAGCTGCATGTACCAACAGCAGAAGACTGCCCAAAGTTTCAAGAATTATCTTTCGGCAACAACTACAAATAAATAAATATATACATACATACACATACAACCAACAATTGTATGCAAAGGATACACATGCAAGAACTACTTTTAGGCACTGGTATTCCATCTCATTTGTAAATCAGACACAAAAACTTAGCTGATTAAAATATGGCAACAGTAACCTAAAAATTAGAGATTTCACATCTTGCGAGAAGTGTGTGGCAGCATGATACTGGACCGAATCCACTTCCCCCAGCTCATTTTACTAGCTATTCAATAGGTCTCTAATGGTTGCAACCGTCTTGCACACTGGGGCTGGATTTAGCTGGTAACGTACAAGTTAAACATTCTATTGTTGTCTAGATCAAAAATAAAAATAAGCAAAGTATGATGTAGGGGGTTCTGCACTTTGCTTTGGGTAGTCAAAGTACGTACATGAATTTGGCATCATACAAATTATTCCAAATTACAACAATAGCAGCAATACCAGTTGAATAAAACTGGGTTAGAAGTGACTGATAGTGTGTATTAGTGTGTATCAGCCTATCAAAAATACATACTGGGGTCAGTACTGTATCTCAGCAGATGCAGTCAATGATGTTACATTAGTGGGTGCAGGATCTGACCCAGAGATACAAAGCTGAGAAAGGGAAACCTCTAACAGTCAAGTTCTACAGTTCTTGAATTCAAGAAGATTCCCAATAACTTCATAGGGAGTTTGGCTCCATTGAGGACTAAACCAAGATAAGAAGATCCAGACAGACTTACCAGTAAACCATGAAGATTCTCAGACAGCCAGACAGAGCTAGTACATTATACTTTTATGCATGCACTCAAGCCACCACCAGCTCAAATACATTCTAAACGTTTTCTGACAATGAAGCCAAAAAGCTTAAGTTTCTTGATAATGAAAATGTGTTGAGTCACAGAACAACATATTGGGAGCATGTTATATGGCTGCTTTTCTGCATCTTATGTTTAAGACTGCTTCCTTCCTAAGATAACTAAGGCTACGTCTACACTGCAGCAGTTTTTGGAAGAGTAAATGCAAATGGAGCGCTGACTTCCAAATCTTGTGCTCTCATTTGCATATTCACTTCAGATCCTTTTCACAGAAGAGGTTTGTACGATAAAAAGCCCTGTGTAGATGGGGCCATGTGTCAGAAAAACCCCATTTTGCACAAGATCCCTTATTCCTCAAAAAATGAGGTTTACTGGATCTTGCACAAAACGGGGTTTTTTCTGACAAATGGCCCCTTCTACATGGGGCTTTTTAGTGGCAAAACCTCTTTGGCAAAAAGAATTGGAAGAAGGTATGCAAATGAGTGCGCAATTGGTACAAACTACCAATAAGTCAAGAGTAATTTTTGGTGATTTGTTTCTTAAATAATCTAAGTGACAGAAAAATGAAGACAATACCAAGAACCCTTGCCTCATCTAAACCAAGTTAAGTGCCATCTAAAGAAATGTGAACTGGAATTTTCAACAAAGCAACACTTCATGTATCTGCTTATCTGAGATGTACCAATCTGCATGGAAACCTTGTACCATAACTAAGATCATGGGGTTTCTAGCTTAGTTATTTTAATAGTTCACTTGGAATGCAACTGTATAATGGACTGCTGCCTAAGATGGAAATATAATGCAGTTTTCCACCTGGCCTTTTAAGAGGAAGATGCACATGATCCTAGCCCAACAAACCGCCTTTCAAAAAGGCAATGACAATTTTCACTGTGGCTGGCTGCAGTTTGTATGGATTCAACTATTTTCAACACTTTAGTGCAGCAAGATTGATACTGTTCTTTAAGTCAGCAAAATGACATTTTACATTCAGTGCGCTCTATTTCCTAAAAGAATTATTCTTTGCTGAGGGGTTATAACAAATCACCTCTCCCCATCTGCCAGGATGCAGCTGGGCAATAAGATTATAGGTAATTGTGTCACTCCCCTATGTACTGCAGATGAGGAAACAACTTAGCATCACTTTTGTGAATAAAGGAGGAAAACATCCATCTCTAGATGCAATATGAACCTTTTTTTAAAAATCAGAGCACCAGCACATGTATCTAACAGAACACTGGCACAGCTCCATAGCACTCAAAAAAACCCAAATCCACAGACTGTCTTTGGGACAGGAACTGCAACATACATCAGATGTTTTACAGTCTCATCTTGCACCATTTGAAGGCTCCAATCAAAATCAAACCTGGGCAACTTCTCTAGCCATCCCATAAATATGCTTCCTCATGTTCAGCTTCCAAAACTCAAGAGGGTAAATTCATATGGAATTGAGTTTAAAAAAAAAGTGCTATCATTCAAGTAGGTTGCACAACTTGTGTCACTTTTCCTGAAAAGCCAATCAATTGGCACTTTCGTAATGACTCCCTCAAAAGCCAAACAGGTGGAAGCAACAGATTCATCCTGTTATTTTCTGAATAATGAAAAAATTATCAGTAGGGGAGGTTTGTGGCCAGCAGCTCCCACTTTGTTGCTCTAAAAATGCAGTTTATAAAAATAGCAGTAAAATTTAGTGATACACTTAGGTGATGGTGGAGGGGGAAATCTAGAAACAAACTCACAATGAGGTAGATCCTGCTCCTAGCAAAGCCAATAACAAAGCATCCATTGATTGCAAAGGGAGCAGGACAGGGTTCTAGAGCTGCAGAAAGTCCATCCCCATTGTTCATCAGCTAAAATACGTTCTACAAAAAAACCTGACAGTTAACAGTGGTGCCTCAGAGTGAGTTTAAAGGGACCCACATACCAGATTAGTGTTAACATTATGGACAAAAGAGGTCAAGAAGTAGGCAGTTTAAAAAAAAAAAAAAAAAGGGGGGCCCCCCCCCCCCCCCGGCCCCAAAGCAATGTGGAATCTGCCTTTCCTTTCAGGTAAATCAATTCAGATGTGCTCTCTGTACTATTAACTTATTAGGTGTTTGATCCAATCATCCACTGGCATTTAAAACAAATAAGCTTGTCTATTCTATTGGGGAAGTTCACTTTAACCATGCGCTGGGTGGAGGACAGATATTCCAATGCCAGTATTTCTCTTTTTAAAGTGCTGCCCTGTAGTAGACTTGTCAGGTTTGCTGAGCTGTGGCACGACTAACGAATCTTAGTAGGATACAAAAATCATTTATCAATCACCTGCAAAAACAAAAGCTATGTATTAATGAGGTATATATAGTAGCTTTTATAGTAGTCGTCTCTTGGTTTAGTTGCTTGCCAACCTGGCTACACCACAAACTCCTCTGGCAGCTGGTCCTCTCCCAAAAGATCCAGAGACAGGCAGTTCATGGATCTCTTTCCATAGAGCGCAGACTTGGTTTTGCAGTCTGCTGTTGAGTAAACACAGCCATAGCTGGCCAGCTTATCATCCAGGGCACAACCAAACGTGTAGCTATGGGAAGTGTCTGAAGAAAGTGTAGAGCTTATCGGTGGATGCTGATGCTTGTACAGGCGAATGTCATCCAAACTCTGGCTGTGCTGGTCTGCGCAGCTCCTGCCTTTAGGCTGTCTCACCTGCCAGTTCAGCAAGATACAGATGAGTAAAGCCCTGAGCTGAAGCATGTCACTTCCATAGGCTCAAGTATGCTTGTTACTAAAGCTCATCAGAATTTTCTTCTAATTATCCCACACAGTTTTTTGCAGAGCACTGTCTTCATGAAGAAGCCATGAACCATGCATGATAAAACTGTGAATTCACTTAACTGTCCATTTCACCCAGATTGGGGTCTCTGCACACTGTCTGCAGTGTCAAGTGCAATGAATGGAGCATCTGACAGCCAGAAAGCCTGGTCAAAGTGACACTTCCTGGCCAAACTGGGGTAGACAGCCTCTGGCTATGTATAAAGAACAAGCACTAGAAAACATTGGCATGCATTTAAAAATCTGTTAAAAGAAAGACTGAGAAACCAACTAAAATTTGATGAGTTTTGTGCTTAATTAAAAAAAATGTCAAGTACAACTAATTGACATATGGGGGGAGGGGGAAGTGAACCAGTAGTAATTTTAAAAGGCAGGAATTCGTTTTACACAAGCAACAGTGACCTGGCCTTTACTGAGAAGTTACTGACCAACCATGGCTCTTGATCGTTATTCCTTATATTGATTTTAAGATTAAATTCTAGAAACAGAGCATTCACACACAGATATTTACCTTACCAATGCAGACAGGAAAACGTTGTCCCCAAAATAGAAATTTTTATATATAAATTTTCACAGAGTTTAAAAAGCACTCTGCCTTGGCTCAACTCTTCTGCCTTCCCCAACACTGCCATCCGAGAAGAGTTTAAACTAACACAGAGTGCTTTTGAAAATCCTATTACTAATGCAGTTATTCAGTTACACAGCCTCATATAATTAAAAAACCCACAACCAAAAGGCGCAAACTAACTATTCACTGTATATGCTGGTAAAAGAATAAGCTATCAGATCTCTTGAAAATGTTACCTGACCTATATTTAAAATCAGAACTATCTTTATAAAACTGCTAAGGTGTCTGAGCCAAAACAGATGGAATATTATTAGCAGAAAGCACTGTTTACGTGTGTGATCAGAGAGAGACTAATGTAAAACCAGCATCTCTAAATCGAGATGTATGCTCCCTGTGTATCTGCCGCACCTCTATTCAACTCAATAAAAAAAAATTCTGCTGTTTGCCTTGCAGAGCCAACAATTTTGGAAGAATAAACTAGATTCTATTCTAGTCTCGTGGATCATTGAAATAGTCTGTTAAATGGCAACTAAAGATTATTTATCACTGCATACATGTCCAGTAAGAAGCAGAAAGATCCCGGATTGATTTAAGAGAGATCACGGAAATGTTTGCAGTTGAGGGTTTATAAATAAATAAATAAATAAACAAACAAACAAACTGACTATAGCCACACTTTGAAATATAAAAAGGCTTAGAGAATTTTTAAATTTAAGAGGTTTATCAGAGGACAAGACAGTATTGCTTAAGACACAGTATGTGCTTTTGCCATATATAGTTTCCTTCTCTCAGAGGCTTGGGGAAAAGCCAATGTAGACAGAAAAGTTCAAGCAAACAAGCAGCACAACAAAAGAGGAATAATTACAGATAGAGCAAAACCAGTCCCTCAGCTCTGAAACTCTTCCAACTTCAGGCGTGGAGAGGAAATTGAGTTTGCATCTCAAATCCAAAAATTACCCAAACGGTTTTGGCTCTGCTTCAGACCCAAAATTCTAAGTGGCTTATTTCCTCTTTGGAAGTCTAAATCAAAGGAGGACAGCTTGCAAGATTTCAGTCTTATTCACCCCAAACCTCATTCTAATTTGGATACAAATGCTGCCTTCTCATCCCACCTCTAGTAGTAATTGCTAGCCAACTTCTGGTCTCACTTATGCCATTATAAATCAGAGTAATATCTCTGGCTTGATTTATAGTTGTGTAAATGAGAGCAGAATTTAGCCCAATATCCACAGTCAGACCCATCTGTCTGTCTCCTCTCACCTGATGAAGCGATTCCACACTTTGGCCTCTCATTTGTATCAGTGTGACTTGTACCACAGGGAGAGGCTTTTTCTTAAGAGCTGCAGAGGAAGAAACTGAAATTCAGATTATAGATTCACACTGACATGTTTACAACAGTTCATGTGAAAAGGCAATTTACAATACTTCTCTTCAGACTGCTACAATGTCCAACTAGTACCATACCCTGCACCTTCCAAATTCATTTGAACGACACTCACAGATGTCACTTCAGTCACTAGTGCTCATGTGTCTTCCAGCCTCAGGAGTGAGGCCAAAAGTTTAGATTAGAAAAGCGATATAACGGCACTATCAGGGCTATTTCACACTCCAGTTTCACATACACATAAATCTTACCCAGTTTTAATGCTTAAAATGGGACACGGATTCAGAGATCTATGGACCAGAAGAGACCATTATGATCATCTGAGGCCCTGAGTAACAGACCATAAAACCTCACGAAGCCCAATATCTTGTGCCTTTTCAGCTTGTTGTAACAGACATAAGTTAATCCCTTTGCTGGAGCGGGTTACGTAAGTTTTCAGAGTAACATACAAAAGATGTACCGTATATACTCGAGTATAAGTCGACCCGAATATAAGCCGAGGCACCTAATTTTACCCCAAAAAACTGGGAAAAAGTATTGACTCGAGTATAAGCCTAGGGTAGGAAATGAGGCAGCTACTGGTAAATGTAAAAAATGAAGATAGATACCGGGTCTAGCCCCGGAAGTCGGGGCGAAAGCTGCTCCGGTGCCCCTGGTCTGCTGGAGACCGTCTCCAGCAGACATGGGGCACCGGGCGGGTTCCCGCGCTTCTGAGGCTTTGCCAGAGCAAAGCCTCAGAGGCGCGGGGCCCCCGCCGC